AGTATGGAAGGTTACGAATCGGTGAGGCGAACCACATGCATCTTGGAGGTCGTTTCATGGACTTCCGCAAACCCTAATTTAGACTTAAGCCCTAGCATGGAAGGTTACGAATCGGATATTATTGTATTATCATTCAAGAAATCTTGTATTACACAATTATTTCTTGGTTCCTTTATGTTATAATCTAATCTGGTGCGAAAATAACACTATTACTAATATAAGTTTATGAAATTTTAGGGTTAAGACCTATTACTGAAGGTTACGAATCAGAGATTGATGTACTATCATTCAAGAAATCTTGAATTACACAGTTATTTCTTGGTTCCTTTTCATAACTAATCCAATTTGGTCTGAAAAATAACATTGTTACTCAGATAAGTTCATGAAGTTTTAGGGTTAAGCCTTATACTGAAGGTCATGAATCGAAGATTGCCGTACTATCATTCAAGAAATCTTGAATTACATGGTGATTTCTTGTTTCCTTTTTGTTTTAATAATGTAATTTGGTCTGAAAAGCCAGGGTAGAGCCTCGGAGCCGGCCCAAGCGAAGATCGGCTGAGAATCTTCTTTCGGGCTCAACTTGTCGGTCTGAAAAGAGGCTCAACATTCGGACATATGTTTTCGATTGTTAGCAACACTGTTATTGAGATAAGTGTCACAAATTTCCATGTTATATGGAAATGGTACAAGACCACCATGAGTCATACTTAAATTGCACATGAGTTTGTAACTCTTTTTCAAAAGTGGTGCCAAAACTTTAAAATCTAAAACTTCATGGAATTTTGCAACAAACATCAAAAATTTGGTTTCCTAAATGTAATTTTAATTTTGATTTTGATTTCATTCTTTATAGGATTTTGGTGGGCCCAGGTTGACCTATTTGTTGGGTCAAATGTATCTTTTTTGACCAACAAATGTAACGCTTCTCTCTCTCTCTATCTCTCTCATATATATAAAATTTTAAATATTTTTGTTAAATTAAATTATATATAAAATAAAACGTTACAAAGAAAATTTTAACCAAGTTTTAAATTACTAGAAGGGTACTCACACAATAAAGTGAGATATATCTTTATTTTAATACAACTTATGTGGTTTTAATAAAGACAATGTTTTTACTTTTGAATAAAAATAAATTTGAAGATATCATAAAATTTGAAAAAGTACATGGATATTAATGTCAAATTAATCATTTAAAAGCTTTTTTTTGTACAATTTTTTTAAGTCAATTTTTTATTATAATTTAATTTAGATTTAACAACGAAGTAATTTATTTTTGACTTAACAATATAATTTTTATAAAGATAATGATTCTGTTAGAACTCAATGATTATCCTAATTATATTTTAGATTTTTTATATTTAAAATGAGATGTTTATCCTATATTTGGTTATGTTTATCTGCAGTTAGTTATACGAATTTAAAAATGGAGCTTTAATAAGTTGTACTTGTGCACAGCTTACTTGTAATCTAAAATTTTAAGTAATGTGCATTAATAAACAGTACTTCATGCATAAATAATGGTTTTTAAGAGTTTTTGTCAAATGCTTTATAATATAGTATAGATATAGAAAAAAAATTAAATATCTTAGACAAACAATAAGAGGGTGTTTGATCAAAGGCATTAAACAGTAATCAATAAAAATGATATTAAAATAAACTGTTTAATTTTCTATAATATAATGGGCTCATTCCTGCAAAAGCCTAAAATTTCATTCCGGTTAAACTGATTTTCATTCTCTGTCATTTTTATTTTCATTCTCAACATGGGTCAAACAGACTCTAATTTTTTTAATTTTATCGTAAAAAAGAAGGTCATATTAAAATAATATTAGAGCATCTTCAACAACTATTTCAAAAATTTTAAATATAGGAAAATTTATTTCAATAACTATATTATTTTTTTTTACTAAAATAGAAAAATAAATAAAAGAGAATAAAAGAAGAAAAATCTCCAAATTTAAAATAAGAGAGAGAAAATATATCATACTATGTATTTACTTTTAAGGATCATTAGAATTTTAAAACAAAAGGGTACTCGTGCAATGCATCGAGACACATCTTGATTTTAGTGTAATCTTTTATTCTATTTTTATGTCAATATAATATGGTTTTGAGAAAGCGATAATGTTTTTATTTTTGAATAAAATATAAATTTAAAAATATCATAAAATTTTGAAATATATATATATCGATATTAGTATCAAATTAATCTTTTTAAAAGTTCTTGTGTATTGGTGTAATTTCCTTAATTCAATTTTTTAATTATAATTTAATTTAGATTTACTAATAAATAAATTAATTTAAAAGGTTACGAATTGGTGAGGCGAACCACATGCATCTTGGAGGTCGTTTCATGGACTTCCGCAAACCCTAATTTAGACTTAAGCCCTAG